GGGTGTGGAGAGACGGGGCCGGGCAGAGCCTCGCGCAGCCATGGAGTCTCTCCTGCTGCCGGTGCTACTGCTGTTGGCCATACTTTGGACGCAAGCGGCCGCCCTCATTAACCTCAAGTATTCGGTAGAAGAGGAGCAGCGCGCCGGGACAGTGATAGCTAACGTGGCCAAGGACGCGCGGGAGGCGGGCTTCGCTCTGGATCCCCGGCAGGCCTCTGCTTTCAGAGTGGTGTCCAACTCGGCTCCACACCTGGTGGACATCAATCCCAGCTCCGGGCTTCTGGTCACTAAGCAGAAGATCGACAGGGACCTGCTGTGCCGCCAGAGTCCAAAGTGCATCATCTCGCTAGAGGTCATGTCCAGTTCAATGGAGATCTGTGTGATTAAGGTAGAGATCAAGGACCTGAACGACAATGCACCTACTTTCCCGGCAGCACAGATTGAGCTGGAGATCTCGGAGGCGGCCAGCCCTGGCACGCGTATCCCGCTGGACAGCGCCTACGATCCAGACTCAGGAAGCTTTGGAGTGCAGACATATGAGCTCACGCCCAACGAGCTGTTTGGTCTTGAGATCAAGACGCGGGGTGACGGTTCTCGATTTGCTGAACTAGTGGTGGAGAAGAGCCTGGACCGAGAGATACAGTCGCACTACAACTTTCGTATCACTGCTCTCGACGGCGGGGACCCTCCGCATCTGGGCACTGTTGGCCTCAGTATCAAGGTTACCGACTCCAATGACAACAACCCTGTATTTGGTGAGTCTACCTATTCGGTGAGCGTGCCTGAGAATTCACCTCCCAACACACCTGTTATCCGCCTCAATGCCAGTGACCCAGACGAAGGCACCAATGGCCAGGTTGTCTACTCTTTCTATGGCTATGTCAACGACCGAACACGTGAGCTCTTCCAGATCGATCCACACAGCGGCCTGGTTACTGTGACCGGTGCCTTAGACTACGAAGAGGGCAACGTGTATGAACTGGACGTGCAGGCCAAAGACCTGGGGCCCAACTCTATACCGGCACACTGCAAGGTTACAGTCAGCGTGCTGGACACCAATGACAACCCACCAGTTATCAACCTGCTGTCTGTCAATAGTGAGCTTGTGGAGGTGAGTGAGAGCGCCCCCCCGGGTTATGTGATTGCCTTGGTTCGCGTGTCTGATCGAGACTCGGGCCTCAATGGACGTGTGCAGTGCCGTTTGCTGGGCAACGTACCCTTTCGGCTGCAGGAGTATGAAAGCTTTTCCACTATCCTAGTGGACGGAAGGCTGGATCGAGAGCAGCATGATCAATACAACCTTACCATTCAGGCACGCGATAGCGGAGTGCCCATGCTGCAAAGTGCTAAGTCCTTTACTGTGCGCATCACTGATGAGAATGACAACCACCCGCACTTCTCTAAGCCCTATTACCAGGTCATTGTGCAGGAAAACAATACTCCTGGCGCCTACCTGCTCTCCGTGTCAGCCCGTGACCCAGACCTTGGTCTTAATGGCAGTGTCTCATACCAGATAGTGCCATCTCAAGTTCGGGACATGCCTGTTTTCACCTATGTCTCAATCAATCCCAACTCCGGCGATATCTATGCGCTTCGATCTTTCAACCACGAGCAGACCAAGGCATTCGAATTCAAAGTGCTGGCTAAGGATGGTGGCCTTCCTTCCCTGCAAAGCAATGCCACAGTGAGGGTTATCATCCTCGACGTCAATGACAATACTCCGGTTATCACCGCCCCACCTCTGATTAATGGCACTGCCGAGGTCTACATCCCCCGAAACGCAGGCATAGGCTATCTGGTGACGGTTGTCAAGGCAGACGATTATGACGAGGGTGAGAATGGCCGAGTCACCTATGGCATGACTGAGGGGGACCGCGGCTTTTTTGAAATAGACCAGGTCAATGGCGAAATTAGAACAACGCGAACCTTCGGAGAGAATTCCAAGGCTTCCTATGAGCTTATCGTCGTGGCTCAAGACCATGGCAAAACGTCTCTCTCCGCCACTGCGCTGGTCCTAATCTACCTGTCCCCGGCTCTTGATGCCCAAGAGTCAATGGGTTCAATGAATCTATCTCTGATTTTCATTATCGCCCTCGGCTCCATTGCGGGCATACTCTTTGTTACGATGATCTTCGTGGCAATCAAATGCAAGCGAGACAACAAAGAGATCCGAACCTACAACTGCAGGTAAAGCAACTTTTCTTGCCTTCTTTGTCTCTTTGGAGTAAGGTGTGTCTGTCTCCCCAAGAAACCCTGGTGCTGTTGCTGTTGTTAGCTACAGAAATGCATGCAGCATATTCATAGTGTTTCTTTGTGGAGGGTGAAAAGTTTGTGATAGTAGAAGTTGATCAATTCTTTTGATTTGACAATTTGCTGGAAGACAATCTTTTACTGTCTGAATGAATTCTGCTGCATAATGATGAGCAGCAAACCAATTATCATTCTAAAATTTGCACAGCTGTCTCCATGAAGTTATGGTAGAAAAA